CTTCATGTTAGTGTTTCATGATGCTAGCTGTTGGGTCTTCAATTTATAGAGAAGTCATAGCCTATGAGGAAAAGGCTGATTTTTGACCTGCTTCCTAAGGTGAGGGATGTGGTTTAGCACTTTAAAAAAAAAAAACTACAAGATAGTTTGCCAGAGGGAAGATTGATTTAGCACGTACAAGAATTCAGAGGTTTTGTAGGAAGGTTCAGCATTTGGGAACAAACAAGCGTTGACTATCATTACATCTAGTTAAGGTCTTGCATGAGCCAGATCTTAGACTAACATAGTCTTTGAAATCAGTCCAGAGAGCCTTGATTCTATTTCCTATTACTGCCATGATTTTCCCTTATTATAGAGGAAAAGTCATTTCCTTCAACAAACATTCATTTAATGTCACCTATGTGCAGAACACAATGTTAAGCCCTAGGGGAAGACACAAACTATAAATTAGACGTGATCCCTGCCTTATCTCAGACAGCTTTTCTTCTAACAGAGAGATAACACAGAAGCACAGAGACTGTTAAGAGACTTAATAATACTCCTAATACTACTTCAAGGTTTACGAAGAGCTTTCTTCTCAACAGGCTTACGAGACAGGTAGCATAAGCAGTGCCATCTCCATTTTATAGATGAATTTCACAAAATATTACATGATAAATGCTCATCAAAGTTTCAAAACCAAGCATTTCAAGGGCTCCTCTTTTTTTCCACAGGTCAAACAGGGATAACTAGCACTTGCTCCCATCAATCCTTTTCTTCTTTTGGAGGCAAAGGGTTAAATGACTACTAACAGCTAGTAAGTGTTTGAGCCGAATTTGAATTCAGGTCCTTCTTACTTCAGGGCTGGTGCACTATCTACTGCATCAGCTAACTGCCCCTGCCCCATCACTCACAAGAGATTGCTCTAGGTCAATATTCTCACATTAATGAGTTCTCCTTTCTCTTCCTTCCTTTTCTTTCCCAAGTAGTAAAGCATGTCTATAATGGAAGTGATGAAAGTAGTCTGAATTTTACAGAGGAAAAGTTCTCCTCTATGCACAGAGAATTGCTAAGTATACAAGACAGATCAACCCTTACCAAACATTTTTTCTCATTAACAAGTAGTATGGGGTCTTAGAAAAGAGCTATGGATCTTCAGCCCAAAGAGGCAGATTCAAAACATGCCTCCAGCAATTATTAGCTAAGACAAATCACTTCATCACTTCAGCCTCAGTTTCCTCATCTGTAAAACTGCAAAAAAAAAAAAAGCCTTACACTACTTATAGCTCAGGTCTGTTATAAGGAGAGTGCTTTATAAATCTTAAATTGCCATCAAAATGGATACTGTAAAAGGTATGTGGAGAGCTGAAGCCAGAGGGTAAAGAAGAGGTATGGACTTCACTCCATCAGACTCTTTGTTCCCTTCTATCTCTTTCTCCTCTATCTATTCAGCACAGCCTACTGAGAATGGACTGGGAGGCAGGCACTCCCTGAATCTGAAAGGATGTGGAGGGAGATGGAGGTGAGAATGAGATAATTGTTAGAAGGTAGCACTCTCAGAACCTGGACTAGAAAACCAACTCTATTTGGGTCCTGCCCATATTCCTGGAAAGAAGCTTTTTCTGGCACCAACATGCTTAATTATAGAAAGAAATAAACCATTTCCCAAGGGACACTAATTGACACTCCCCTTAAATTCTGAAAAAATAGATTTTCCTAAGCACTTTAATCTCAAAAAGTAGTTTCCTAATTGAGGGTTACCATGAGATGGAGCTTAATATAGCAAGTGGTATTAAAATACCATCTAAAAGAAGTTAAGAAAATCTTATAACAGTAGTGCCCTCTGGTGCCACACTAGGTTAACTCATGGTCTGAATTTGCTATCCTGAAAGTCTTTGGTCTATAATATAGGCAGTGACTTGCCTAGGGACACAGATAGTAAGAGGCAGAGCTGGGATTCTAACATAGAAATTATTCACGTTTGAAGTTACTCCTTTTGCATTTTTTTTTACAAAGTTGCCATATTCTGCTATACTCCTTACAAGAACTAGGAAGGAAGTAAAGAAGGAAGGAAGGAAAGAAAGGAAGGAGGAAAAGGAAGGAAGAAAGGAAAAGAAGGAAGGAAAGGAGGAAAGAAAGAAAGGAAGGATGAAAAGGAAGGAAGGAAGGAAAAGAAGGAAAGAAAGGAAGAGAAGGAAGGAGGGATGCTTTAAACACTTAGTGGCTGTATGAACCTGAATGAGTCACTTGACCTCACTGGGACTCAGTTTCCTCATCTGTATTCTAATACTACTCACCTGACTGGGTTGCTATGAAGATCAAACAATGGAAAGCACTTTGTAAACCAGAAAGTGATCTATAAAAGTAAACTAGAATCACAATTCTCCAGTGCTAAAGCAGCCTCCCCATTGAACAACGTAAATTAAAACCTCAATGTATCACCAATGTTTATGAGACTAGACAAATTTTAATGGCACCCTGGACATATGGCTGTCATCTTATTTAGTAATCCAGCCTGAAATAATGTTCAGGTGTTAATTCATTCCGTACTATTACTGAAGAGGTAAGATTATATGTCTAAGGCTTGTACTAATAGAACCAGAGAAATCATGAGTAGGAGAAGGGAGTCTTCCAGCTAGAGGACCCAGGGAGGATCCCCAAAGTAGCAATGCCCCCAAATGCCACAGTATGGTCACAGCCCTGCACAGAGCTGATATTCTCTTCCTAAAGGGCGAGATTGGCCCTGGAGCAGACTGTCTCTCTGGGCCCAACTCCCTCTCCTTTCTGCATCATAGATCACATCTCTATGGCACTGTGTAGCTTACAAAACATTTTTCTCACAACAACCCTTTGGAGTAGGTAGGTATTGCTATTGTCATTATTATTCTTATAAGGACCTAGGAATTTAGGGACCAATTGTCCCTAAAGGCAAGGATTGTTCACTTTTGTTTTTATATTCCCAACATTTAGCACAGTATCTGGCACATGCATAGTAGGAATATAATAAACGTTTATTGCTTGATCAATTTGTTCCTAATAACCATTCTTTCCCTCACTAACTTTAGCATCTGCCTGGTCATTGATATGTTTGGTTATAGCCAGTTGCTCGGGCCACCATTCATACTGCAACCACTGTTTCCCACCTCCACTCTGGGACATAACCTCGATGTAACATGACAGAAAGACATAGAATCAACTATCTGTTGGCTGTCTTACATAACCCCACTAGAGTAAGGAAGCATGTGTCCTTGTGGTTATTTGATGAAGTGTTGCCAACTTACAGAGTATGGTGAAAATAATGTGCTATTTTTGGTTGTTCTGTTTATTTTCTTCTCAAAAGAGCTGAATGGTGGTGTATGCCATGACTATCTCCCATAGATTCCTTCCTATTCACTGCCCTTCCCCTCTCCCACTCTTCTCTACTCTCAAGTTTACCTAAATGAATCCATGCAAATGTAGCTAGGAGGAAGGAGATCTAGAAATGTAAAACTTCTGGACCCTCTAGCTCTCCTCCTATAATTGCAGAACCCAAACATCTTTTTGTGGTCCAGAAGAAACCACACTTTCCCCGAAGTCCCCACTGCTCTTGTACCTCCATTTCCTGTGGGTAGAGGCAAGCCCAGGCATACTCTGGAGCTGTACCCCCAACTACCACCATCTTCATCTCATTCTGTCACAGTTTGGTTGGCCTGGCTTTGAGTTATACCTCAGGAATGGAGTTGCCTCCATTTTTTGGTCTTGTGCCAAGAAGAAGCTCGGAAGTGCCCAATAATCTAGACAAAAAGTAATCCAGGGAAAGCAGAAGCTAGTCAAAATTAGCCGTTGATCTGAATTGATATATTTTACTTGGCTGAGCCCACAGGAGTTCCCTGGTTCTAAGAACGGTGTTCCCTAGGAAGGGAGAAAGGGGCACCATGGAAGCTAGGAGACAGAGGAGAGGACACTGGCACCCTAGGAAAGAGCAAGCAAACATAAGAGAGGGAATAATATAAGTTCTTTATCAGAGAATAAGGAAGGGAAAGAAGAGGAGCTTGAGGAGAAGAAGGAGAAGGAAAAGGAGGAGAAAGAAAAGGAGGAGGAGGGGAAGGAAGAGGAGGAAGAAGGAGGAAGAGGAGAAGGAAGAAGAAGAAGAAAAGAAAAGGAGGAATAAGTAGAAAAGAAAGGAGGAAAAAGAAAAGAAGAGGAGGAAGAAGAGAAGAAGAAGAAGAAGAAGAAGAAGAAGAAGAAGAGAGAGAAGAGAGAGAGAGAAGGAGGAGAGAGGAGGAGGAGGAGGAGGAGGAGAAGAAGAAGAAGAAGAAGAAGAAGAAGAAGAAGAAGAAGAAGAAGAAGAAGAAGAAGAAGAAGAAGAAGAAGAAGAAGAAGAAAGATGTATACCTGCTGCCCATTCATTCTGCATCACATACTGGGCAAAGTGCAGTAGAGAATAGCAATTGAGGTTTTCTATTTAATGCTGGTGAAGGTGTGCTTTCGTTGGGATTATTTGTTTAAAAACTTTAGGATAAATATGTATATGTACATACACAAAAACACTAGTAATTATGCAATTGTAGCAGACCAAAAGGATTTTGGATTGGGACCTTCTTGATTTTTCTATTTACGCCTTGCACTTTCTGTGGCGGAGGGGAATTACATCAGTGATTGTATGCCTTCTAAGGTTTTTGTTGTTCTTGTTAATATTCTTATCAGACATGTTACTAAAAAAGTAAAAACCCAAATACACAGAGTGTTTTATAGCACTACAACTGAAAGTATGGCAGAAAAAAAAAAAACAAGGACAAAGAAAGCTAAAGAAACCCATATATAGGCTAGACACATTCTAGGCACTCCATGGCTTCTGAAAACCACTCCCTATCATAACAACCACCAAAGGAAGGAAGGAGAAAAAAGTAAATAGGCTGAGATTCAATTTTTAGGAAGAAAAATGTTCAACCTTGGCCACTGGATTGTTTTCAGATATCCTTTTGTCAGCTGAGCTTTGCAAGATAAAAGAGAAGAAAAAGGTAAGTAAGAAGAGGTCTTACCTGAGAAGCCCCCAAAATGTAGATCAAGCATACAAACAATCCTATGCACTGAATCACAGAAGACACCAACAGTAACTTATTAACAATGGTCCTCTGCCTTGGCAAGTTCCCAGGTCTCTCCTGAAGTGGTTGATCCCTTTCCATCTTCCAAATCCAGCCAATGGAAGATTAAAGGATGAAGAGGAAGCCTGAATCAATGGATGCTGACCTCTTCCAAGGTGAAGAAAAAAAAAGATCAAGTAAACTAGCCAGTAGATAGTCTCAGAATTGAAGTTAAAGAAAATGAGTGATTAGAGGGGCAGCCTCTCAGTTTTATATGCTACAGCTCTTGCAGGCAGGCGGGGAACTTCTTTGTGACTAATCTGAATTTCCCCTTTACTTACTTTCTTTTTTTTTCCCCTCTGGGCTTACAGAGAGGTTGTTTTTGTGGCATTCCAGTTTAGAGTTGAATAGCCCGAAATGACAGAGTCATAAAAGTATGCTATTTTCTTTATTTCTCATTACCCATACTTTGATGATGGGTCTTTTGAAGAAGATCATTGTCACTCATAGATACAGGCACTAGTATTTAGTTGTCCCCTCTAGAAGCAAGGCACATGTTAGCCATTTTCAGTGGTCTCTTATTTTAATCAGGATTTTGGGATAGGGAGGAAAGGGTTCGCAACCAAGCATCATTCCCAATGTCTTTGGTATAAAAACTACAGCCTTGCACCAGCAAGAATGGAAGTGAAGAAGGTAGATGAGGTAGAGTGGTTTACATTTCAGTCGAGTTGAATGAATAATAAAGGGAGATAAGTTATTCATAGACCTAGGTCTTCGAAGAAGGTTTAGTAAAGGAAAATCCTGTGGAAAGAAACTGAGATGTTTTTTGCCTCTCTTCCTTTTCCTTACTCTTACACTTCTTCCGCTATCAGTACCGATTAAATGAATGGACCAATGCAATCCCTTCATGGTAAGTTATTTTCCCAAAGGAAATAGTGTAGCAACTAGAATTCAAATTTTGAAAATCTGGGCATTCTACCTACCAATCAATTTTTATCAATGAAGTAAAAAGCATGATGCTAGAATGGTTTTTAATATTTGCAATTCAACTCGGGTATTTGTGGGTTCCCTGTATACCATACTGGGCTTTACTGGGAGGCTACAAGGAAATCGCAAGACAAAATTTTGCCCATAACTGGCTATGTAACCTTGGGCAAGTCACTTAAGCTATTTGGGATATACCATTACCTCATCTACAAAGCAGAGACAAGCTTCTACTTGAAAAGAAGACAAGGAAGACAAGATGATCTTTGGATGCTTCTAACCCTATAATCTATAACTTTGTGATTTCTGCCTTTGGGTCTTGTAATCAAGAAAGCCCTGGGTTCCCACCTCATGCTCTTACTAGCCATGTGAACCCGGGGCCATCTCTTATCTCTTTGAGCCTCAGTTTCCTCATCTGTAGAAATGGAGATAATAATAATAATACATAATTAACTTCTCACTCTAAATGGTATAAGGGCATTGTGAAGATTAAATGAAATAATGTATAAAAAGTGCTTTGCAAACCTTAAGGCCATATGAAGGCTAGCAATAAATAATATTCATAGGCTTACAAATGGGGTGTGCTATATGTGACCAGGTATACCCTAAAATACCAGCAGCCGTTTTGCTGCCATGGGGCTGCTTGGGATCCAGAGTCCACCAGTGACAGAGTGGCATGACCATTTGTCTCTAGGAACAGTAGCCACAGCCAGAGTTCCTAATCCAGTTTCTGTCATTTACTTCCCACTTATTAATCCCTTACTGTTTCCCTAAGGTTCTGAGGCAGAAGGAAGAAGGTATATTTAGTGGTTTGGTGAACTGGGAAACTCTACAGCCCTTTTCCAGGCTCTCATTGTGATAGATGCTGCAATGCCATCTCCAGTGGCATCCTGTGCTTGGCAGAACCCAATTCCTATGGAGGTCAGGCCCTCCTCCTTCCTGCCCCCCAAGTTCCCAGTTTTCTTTTGCAGTAACTAGTTCCCCTTCCATCTACTGAATCTAGGCAAGGGAAAGATGAAAGGGGAGGGAGAGGGAGCATCTAGGCATTCTTTGCGGTATAACAGAAACCACACTTTCCCCCGGCCTGCACTGTTCATATATTTCCTGTGGGTAGAGACAAGCCCAAGCTTCTCCAGTGTTTTGTCCTCAACCATCCCTCTCCTACCCTGGGACCCAAGCCAGTTGCATCCAGGTGGGGGAAAAATCAACTTGATGTTTTAAAATCTTCTTTGACTCTTCTGGCCACTTGATTTTCCAAGTGGCCTATAGTGTATGTCCCTGGGACACAAGATGACACAGACAAAGGAGGCAAAAAAGTTAAATTTTATAATTTTTAAAGAATACTCCTCTGGTAACCAATATTTAAACTCTGCTGCCAGGCTTTTATGTCAAAGTTCAGGGCCAAGGGAGCACACTGTTCAGTCTAAAAGATGCTTTTTTTAGCCAAGAAATTAAGTTTTAAAAGGTAGTTATTCTGAATTTTAAGGGGGGAAAAAAGAGTTTGATTAAAAGTTTAACTTAATTTTTTTAATTAAATTTAGTTGTCTTAGTTTCTTTGGTTTGCTTTATGAATAGAAGTAATTCCTTTTGTGAGTGAGTATATAATAAATATAAATATAAAAAATACTCAAAAGAATTTGTGATCTCATTGATTCAAGGATCTTTTTCAACAACACAAATCACAACCCATCCATGCCTTCCCACCCTTGTCTATATCTTCCCATATGTTCACCTCAGGGAGATTTTTTTTTTTTGCCATGGAAACCCATAGAGCAAGGGAGGGGGAGATATATTAGGTAGACACATAGGAAAGATACATACATACACACATACATACATACAACTACATACATACAGTACTGCACATACATACAGGCTCGGTGGGAAGACAGAACTTAAGCACATACTGTAGAACCCTAAATTCACAGAATCTTAGCTTTGGAAGGGAACCCAGAGACCATGTAGTCCAATCCCTCTGAGCAACAGCCTGAATACTCACGAGTTTGGATTTGAAGGGACAAAGATCTCATACCCATTCCACTTTTGGATAACTTTAACTGTTATTTTACTTTGTTTTAATTTACTTTCCCAAAGAGGTAGAATGTGTCTTTGCAACTTCTGTTCATGGCTCCCAAGGCAGCCATCTGGAGTCCCAAAACACAAATCTAGTCTCTCTTCAGTATAACATAAATATAATGTGGCATGTGTGAATTGAGTTCCTACAGCATGTGTGCATCTCCAAAGAATTACTAATTCATGTCACATAAAGGACAATGGAGAGGCACATGGTGAGTAAGAATAGGCTGCCACATGTCACCAAAGAAGCACTTTGAAGAACAGAAGTTAAAATATGTCTTTGGGAATGTGTATTCCAGGAAGAGTATTGGTCGAGTCCCATGTAGAGGGCAAGGCATCAGGTGCTCCAGTGATACTCCTAGAACATCAGGGGAAATTGAAGATCTTTAGCATCAAGATGGAGCCCCTTCCCTCTCCATTGTGAACATATGGCTGTGTTACACTCTCTAGCATTGGAGGGAATTTTCTAATTTAGATCACAGATCCCTTTGAGGGATCTAAGGCATATATGAGGGATCCTGTACCTATAGCCAAGTTAATACATTCATTACTACAGAAATTTTCTTTAAATAGTAATTAGGCCTATTGTTAGTGTAATGTTTTGCATTTATATAATGTAGCATTTATATAATTTCTCAAAATGTAGGTCCCCTAGGTTCCTCCACCTTGAAAGAGAGAGAGAGAGAGAGAGAGAGAGAGAGAGAGAGAGAGAGAGAGAGACTTGCAGTATGTGTATGGGAGGCAGTTACAGAATTTCACATGCAGACTAATAAAGACTGCTCTCTGTCTCTGTTTCTTTGTCTGTGTCTCTGTCTCTGTCTCTCTGTGTGTCTCTCTCTGTCTCTGTCTCTATGTCTCTGTCTCTGTGTGTCTCTGTATATGTGTGTGTGTGTGTGTGTGTGTGTGTGTGTGTGTGTGTGTGTGTGTGTATGTCTTCTGTCTCTCTCTCTCTCTCTCTTAAAATAGCTGGGGGAAAATTCCCACCACCACCAAGAACATGGAGGTGTGACAGATTTCTGCCAGAATATGTGACTGCAAAAATGGAGAGAAAAGCTGTCAGGAGCGGTATTCAATTAGCAATGGCTGCAGAATTCCTTTACCTTATCCTAATGCTGAGTTTTTTAGAGGAAGCTATTTCCCAAAAGACTAGGAAAGAGATGGTAATTAGAAGGGCACTGGAAATCACTCAGGAAGGCATTTTGACATTCTTTTTGCTGCCTTCTACTAACAGAAAAAAAAAAAAAAAAGAAGTATCACAGAGGGCTAGTGAGGAATGGAGTACCTGTGAGGTCACATGATCTTATGCTTACATCTAAGGACATGATATCATGGGGGGAAGTGCTAGACTTGGAGTCAGCAAACCTGAGTCTAAATCCTGACTCTATAGCTTATTGCATGTATGGCAGCAGCAGTACAGACTTGACTGAAGATTATTAACGTGACCATATAATGCAAATGCATTATAATAGAACAGCTTGCAGACAATATGGAAGATTAGGAACACTGCCCTAATGAGTGATGTGGAAACTGTTTTGTACAATGATCTTGTAATACATACTTCAAAGAAAATGCTTTTTGTTATCATAGGCCCAAATGTTAATGAAATGCAAGATACGGAAAGAAAACATGTAAATGCATGCACACCACGAATGCAGAAATAGTGGTTAGAGCGTAGAATGCATATGGGGATAGACTCCTACAGGTCAATGGTCCTAATGGTTATCTCAGGATGTTGTAAGAGAAGGCTACCATAACTTTCCACATCCAAAGCCAAGGGCAGAGAACTGGGATTCCAGAAACGTTGAATCAACCTTTTTTTTTTTGCTTTGCTTAAATAATGCCACCAGCTAACGAATGATGATTCACCTAAAATCTACGTCAACCAGAGGAGAGTCAACTGACTCTATAATAGAACTTGTTTTACTTAGGTTAGGCTGGTTTCCCTAAAAGTCAATAAGCATTTATTAGGCACTTGTTATGTACCAAGCACTGTGGGTACAAATAAAAGCCAAAAATTAACCCCTGATCACAAAGGGCTTACA